CTTTAAAAGAGAAGCATAATAATAAGTTAAGTGTTGCCGGGATGAGAATGATTAGGTGGATGAGTGGCTTTACACTTAGAGACAAAATGCGGAATGAATATATTTGTGATAGGGTTGGTGTAGCTCCTGTGACAGACAAAATTAGAGAAAGTCGTCTTAGATGGTTTGGTCATATTAAACGTCGACCATTAGATGATCCGATTAGGAGAGTAGATGTTTTAGATTCGACTTGTGTTAAGAAAGGCAGAGGTAGACCTAGGAAAACTTGGGCTTATTGTATTAAAAATGATCTTAATTTACTAGAACTAAATAAAAATATGACACTAAATGGGACGCAATGGAGAAAAAGGATTCATGTAGCCGACCCCACGTAGTGGGATTAAGGCTTTGTTGTTGTTGTTGTTGTTGTTGTTGCTGTTGTATTGTTAAGAAAATGCACTGAAACTCATTCTATATAATAAAAATTTGTTGATAACGCGTCAATATAAACTTTGAGTCGAAATGAAAGAGTTCATGTAAACATTTTTCCAAAAGATGGTGTTAATATTATCGATATTAAATAAGATAAATATGATATTAGCCACAATTTCATAAAGGAATTTTTTTCTCAGGCAAGACCCGATATATTGGGATTCTTCATTTTATTCCTAACCAGCGTGCTACGTATTGGAGCATACTTAAGAAAGAAACTTGAGAATAAATTAATATTTCTCATTACCAAGAAATATGTGATTAGCATGGAAGAGTTGAATGACATTATTTTTATCATTGGACTCCATGAAAATCAGCCAAAATAAAAGAATTAATCCATCTATTAAACTATCTGGAAAAAGTTTCCTCCTATAGAACCCAATAAATGAATCCTTCAGTTTCATCTAAATAGATCAATAAACTTTTCCAAGGGTAATCTTTTTCCTATTAAATAAAGGATGATTATTGGATTAATATTTGGAATGGAGGAAATTCCTCAACAATGTGGCATTACTTCTAAATTTCCACCAAAGATTCAAGGAGAAACTATGACTAAACTAAAATACTAATTATAAACTACATTTATTTTTCTCCCAAATACTCCGATTTTATTCGGATTGAAGAAAAATGACTAAACTAAAATAAAACATAAATAATTTATTTCTTCATTATGTATTTATATCTTTCATTTTTACTCTTATATTCTCACATCCAAATTTAGTCTAATTATAAAACAATATGATCCATTTGCTTCGGGTCCTCAGATTTCTCAGAGGAAGGTGTTAACTCAATTGTCTCAAATTTTATTTAATTCAAATTCAACCCAATATGTTGGTTTGCTCAATGTTAATTTCATATATATATATATATAAAACACTCATCCAAC